GGGGTCGCCGTGCCGGCGCCGCCCTGACAGGCGGAAGTGGCGCCGGTGTCACCGCGGCCCGGCTCACCGGCGCCGTCGGCTGCAGTTCCAGGGCCTCCGTCACCGCGTCTAACTGCTGTAGTAACCTGGGTCCGGGGCCTCGGTGGTGCTCCTGATGTCCCTCACCCACCCCTGAAGATCCCAGGTGGGCGAGGGAATAGTCAGAGGGATCACAATCTTTCAGCTAATTTATTTTACTCCGTGAGTATGCTCGCGCCGCCGCCGGGGGGTGGGGGGCGCACCTGCTTCCCCGCGCGGTGCCTCCTGGGAGCCAAGGTCCCGAGCCACTTGCCCCTTCCCCCAACCGCGTCCAGATGTCCGCGCGCCCCGGGGGAGGGGGACGGGGGGGGGGGGCTCTTCTCCGGGTTGGCTGCTGCGCAGATACCAGGTGCGGACTTGGGGCGCCCGCAGGATAATCGGCTGAATGTAACAGAGGAACTAACGTCTAACAACAAGACGAGGGTCCTGAACGTCCAGACCAGGCTCACGGGCTCCAAGCACATCGACTGGAGAGCGGTGCTGAGTGGCGGCTGCCTCTACATCGAGATCCCAGGCGGGGCCCTGCCCGAGGGGAGCAAAGACAGGTAGGGGCCCCGGGGCTGTCCCCCCCCCCCCCCCCGGGGGGGGGGGGGGGGGGGGGGCCGGGGGGGCCCCCCCCCCCCCCCCCAGCACCGGAGCCTCCCGGCGTCTGGTGATGGGCTCGCGCGGCCCCAGGGCGGCGGTGTCTCTGACGGTGTCTCCCCTGCAGCTGCCTTGCTCCGGACCTTCAGCTTTTTGGGCTTTGAGATTGTGAGACCGGGGCATCCCCTTGTCCCCAAGAGACCCGACGCTTGCTTCATGGCCTACACGTTTGAGAGAGAGTCTTCGGGGGAGGAGGAGTAGTGGCGGCACCGCCCGCCGCCCTGGCGCTCTGCCGCGGGAGCCCTCGGAGCCTTCGCTGCGGTCCCTTTGCGTGTTTTGCTTTGCGTGGCCGGCGTGACCGACTGCTTCGCCGGGGGCGCGGGCGGCAGGGTGCTCGCCTCTGCTGGGTGTGTCCGCATGTTGTGATTGTGCAAATAAATGCTCACTCCAAATTAGCAGTATATTTCCTGAAGTTTAATATTGTGTTTGTGATACTGAAGTATTTGCTTTAATTCTAAATAAAAGTTTATATTTTACTTTTTTATTGCTGGTTTAAGATGATTCCAATTGTCCCTGTTCTTGGAGAAGGACTTTATTTGAAGGCTTTTGGAAATCTTCAGTCTCTGATCGTGACCAGATCGGTGTTACTGCTCTTCCAGTGCTCGAAAACCTGAATAAAAGTGATGACACCTACAAGACCCGTGTTGGCTCAGTGGTGTTCAGCCGGCCACTGTCCCCACCGCCCGCGACTTGGGGCGGCGGGCGTAGTGTGTCCTGAGCTGAGTGACCCTGGTTCCGGGGGTTGGGGGGAAGCCAAGGCCGAGGTCTCGCCCTCCGGGCCATGGCCGGGTTCCTGCGGGCTGGGAGGCCCTTCCCGGGCCCTGCTTGGGCCGTCTCTGAACCCCACGTTTCCTCAGTCCTTCCCAGCAGCCCCACCCTTGAGCCTTAGGTGCCCTTTGCTGGGATGCTGGCTGGCCCTGAAGTTTCCTCTCTGCCTGAGGCCGGGCTTATTCAGGTGGCTTGGGGCGCGGCCCCGGTGACGTGTGGCCAGGGCTCCCGGGTCGGCCCCCAGGGGACTGTCCAGGCTAAGGTGTTGGGGAATGTCTGGGCCGTGGCCCCACCTTGGCACCGGTGCGGACCCCGAGTGCACCAGTACCCCTTGGAGAGGGCCCTGCGTGCTGTGCTGTGCTGTGCTGTGCTGTGCTGGAGCAGGACTGCGGCCTGCCCGGTCCTGGCAGGTGGGGGTCGGGGGCAAAGGTGGGGAAGCCGGAGGGGCCAGCGGTAGGCGGCCTAGGGGGAGGGGCTCTGAGGCATTCGATCGGCGGGACCGCAGTGCCACCTGCTGGCTGCGTCTGGGAGCGTGGCCCAGGGATTCACATCCAGGCCTTGGCTGGGAGACAGGCTGGAAAAGGGGGGCATCTTTTGTGGAGCAGGAAAGGTACTTGGAGGGCTTGGAGTGTCTCTGGGGCTGGAGAGGGATGTTCAGCTACCTGAGGGTGCAGCCGGTCTTCAGAGGCGCGAAGGGACAAAGCTGGACAACACTCCGGTGCGGGGAGTGCGAGTGTGGACAAGGGGCTTGAGCTGGGGTACTGAATGAAGGATGAGTAGGAGTCAAGCACAGGCCTTGAGGGGAGAACGATCCAGGGGAGGAAACAATTTGGGCAAGGTCTGGTGGCCAGAAAGCTCCGAGGACAGGCAACGTGGCAGGAAGGGTTGGCCAAAGAGAGCTTGTGGAATGTTGGAAGGAGCCCCACTGTATTCTGAGGGTATTAGGGAGCCATGGAAGATGTTTGAGCAGCAGAAGACCCTGGTCATACCGGGGGATTAGCCGTGGTGGGGGGAGGGAAGTGAGGGGCATGACTGGAGTCCCCAGGCAAGGGTAGTGGGACCCCTCGGGGCTTCTGTGTTCATTTTTCAGAGATACTCTGTTCTTTTCCTTAGGTTCCCTGATGAGTCTTCTTGCCAGGTGATTGCATCATCCTATGCTATTAATTAAACACCTACTGTGGGGGCGCCTGGGTGGCGCAGTTGGTTAAGCGTCCGACTTCAGCCAGGTCACGATCTCGCGGTCCGTGGGTTCGAGCCCCGCGTCGGGCTCTGTGCTGACCGCTCAGAGCCTGGAGCCTGTTTCAGATTCTGTGTCTCCCTCTCTCTTTGACCCTTCCCCCGTTCATGCTCTGTCTCTCTCTGTCTCAAAAATAAATAAACGTTAAAAAAAATTAAAAAAAAACACCTACTGTGTGTTAAGCCTGGCTTTCTGCCCTCAGGGTGCTCCCAGCCTGATGGGTGAAGTTCTTAGGTGACCGATAATGACATAAATACTTCCAGGTGGCGACAGGTGTTCTGGGAGGAGGTGGGAGCAGAGTGAGGGGCGAAGGTGGGCCCAGGAGGGGCAACTTTGTTTGGAGCAGGTGAGATTTGGACGGTCTGGCAGAGGGAACAGCCCATGGAAAGGCTTGGTGGCTGGACAAAATTTAATTTCACGGAGCACCAGGGAGGGGGCCACGGCGGGTGCAGAGACTGGCAGGGTGGCATTGGGGCAGGTGAGTTCAGACTCCTCTGGGGGGGGGGCTCTGCCGGGTGGGCTGGTGTCTCAGGTTCTGGGGACCTTTCCCTCCCCCCTGGAGACCCCAAGCCATTCTTTTTTTTTTTTTTTTTTTAAGCCATTCTTGACAAGGAGGTTCACACTCAGGATCACTGGCCGTCCTCAGCACAAGGGGGTCCTCCAGGGCCAGAGATGCCTCTGCTACCGGCGTCGGAGGGACCGTGGGCACCTTCTCATGAAGACAGTGACCATCAGACTCCAGCACTAGAAGGTCATCCTCCTCGCCTCTGCCGGGAGGTGGGCAGAGGGGTCCCACCCTCTCACAGAGACGGTTGATAGGGAGTGTTCACAGCTGGGGGAGGGCTGGGCCGTCCAGCATCAGGAAGCTTCGGGAGGCGCCGGCCATTTAGCCCCCTGCCTTCCCGGGGACGACTTGGGCCTAAGTCCCCAGCACGGCAGGGGGCAGGCACCCCAGAAGAGGCGTCCACATTCCCTCACTGTCGTCTGGCCTTCCGGCCCAGGTCCCCTGTGTGCCTGCCACCCCCCCTCCCCCCCGCCCCCGGAACAGACAGGCACGCGGCCCTTGGAGGCGTCAGTCCCACAGCAGTGCCAGGGCGTGGCTCAGCGAGGCCTCGGTGGCCTCGGCCAGGTACTCACAGCACAGCCAGTCCTCCAGGCCGGGCAGTTCCCCACCCGAGGCCCGCTCGGCCAGGTGCAGGACCAGCAGCGCGCGGCGCACCTGCAGCCAGGGCCCCAGCAGCGCCCCCTGGCGGTGCAGATCGGGCCCGGGCCCCCAGAGCAGCGCCTGCAGCGCGCCGCGCGTCTGGGCCGCCGAGGGCCGGGAGCGGGCCAGCCGGGCCGCCAGAGTCTCCAGGCCGTGGGCCAAGGGCGTGGCTGAGGGCGCGGCGAGGCCGAGGAGCGTGCGGAGC